GGATGGCGAGTTTGTATGGACTATCGGAAACTTAACAGTGCTACTTGCAAGGACCACTTCCCTGTGCCTTTTATTGATCAAATGCTTGATCGGCTAACGGGTAGGTCATTTTATTGTTTCCTTGATGGTTACTCCGGCTACAATCAAATCAACATTGCTTTGGAAGATCAAGAGAAAACTACGTTCACTTGCCCGTACGACACTTTTGCTTTTAGCCGGATGCCATTTGGCTTGTGAAATGCTCCAGCAACTTTCTAAAGGTGTATAATGTCCATCTTCTCCGACATGGTTGAAGACTTTCTTGAAGTCTTCATGGATGATTTCTCGGTGGTTGGTGATTTGTTTGAGCACTGTCTTAACAATCTTAGACAAGTGCTTAAGCGATGAGAAGAGACCAACCTTGTGCTAAATTGGGAGAAGTGTCACTTCATGGTTGACGAAGGCATTGTGCTTGGGCACAAAATTTCAAAGCATGGTATTGAAGTCGATCGGGCAAAGATTGAGATTATTTCTAAGCTTCCTCCACCGACCTCCGTGAAAGGTGTTATAAGTTTTCTAGGGCATGCTAGGTTTTACAGGCGCTTCATCAAGGACGTATCCAAGATTGCTAACCCCATGTGCAAACTCCTCGAAAAGGATGCCAAGTTTGTGTTTGATGAGAACTGTCTTAAAGCTTTTAAGGAGTTAAAGCAAAGGCTCACCACGGCACCCATTATTGTCATGCCCGATTGGTCACTTCCTTTCGAGTTCATGTGTGATGCCAGTGGTGTAGCCATTGGAGCAATGCTTGGCCAACGTCACAACAAAGTTATCCACCGGGTGTACTATGCAAGTAAAACTCTCAATGGTGCACAAATGAACTACACAGTAACTGAGCAAGAGCTTCTTGCTATTGTGTATGCTTTTGAAAAATTCCGGGCTTATTTGTTGGGGTCCAAGGTGGTGGTATACAGTGATCATGTGGCTCTTCGATATCTCATGGCAAAGAAGGATGCAAAGCCTCGATTAATTCGATGGGTCTTGTTGTTGCAAGAATTTGACTTCGAAGTCAAAGATCGCAAAGATGCTAAAGTTCTTGAATGTGGGTATTATTGGCCTTCCATCTACCATGATGCCAGTCAAATGGTCAAGGCTTGCGACCGATGTCAATGACAAGGTTCAATCTTCAAGAGGCATGAAATGCCAATGCACTTTGTGATGGAGATAAAGATCTTTGACGTGTGGGGAATCGACTTCATGGACCCCTTTGTAAGTTCTTGCAGGATGAAATACATCTTGGTAGCTGTGGACTACGTGTCCAAATGGGTTGAAGAAGTTTCCTTACCAAACAATGAGGCAAGGAGTGTGACCGCCTTCTTGAAGAAAAACATATTCACTCGGTTTGGCACTCCTATAGCCATCCTTAGTGACGGTGGATCTCATTTTTGTAACAAGGCATTCTCGGGGCTACTTGAGAAGTATGGCGTAAAGAACAAGGTGGCCACACCTTATCATCCGCAGTCAAGTGGTCAAGTTGAGGTTTCCAGTCGGGAGATTAAAAGTATTCTAGCAAAAACTGTGAACGCAAATAGGACCGGCTGGTCAAGGAAGCTAGATGATGCATTGTGGGCATACCGCACGGCCTACAAAACCCCTATTGGTACTTCTCCTTATCGGCTAGTCTTTGGTAAAGCATATCATCTACCCGTGGAATTGGAACACAAAGCTATGTGGGCGTTGAAAAGGCTGAACTTAGATTGGGCTGAAGCTGCAAATTTGAGGTTAACACAACTCAATGAAATGGAGGAATTCCGGTTCCATGCTTATGAAAGTGCAGCTGTGTACAAAGAACGGATGAAGTTTGTCCATGACAAGAAGATCTTGAAAAGAGAGTTCAAGATGGGTGATTTGGTCTCGCTCTTTAACTCAAGGCTCAAATTGTTTCCGGGCAAGCTTAAATCAAAATGGTCTGGTCCATTCAAAGTGGTCAATGTCTCTCCTTATGGAGCGGTGGAATTAGAATCAACAGATGGGTCCCGGACATTCAAGGTAAATGGCCAACGCATCAAGCACTACTTGGGCACTGATGGAGAAAAACATTTGGTGGAGCAG